AGATGATATTGACATTTAAAGTGACGTTCTACTAATTATTTTATACAGAACATTCTTAATGCTTTATGCTGGTTAATGCGTAATTAAGTTAACCAATGTTCACAATGTCCTTCAAGTGGTAATCAATTAAGCTGAAAAATACTATTTGAAAAAATATGCATAACAACTAGATCATATACAGTGTTGTGAAAAACAACAGGTTTATATACAAACAGATTCACCATATGACTTTGAAAGTATATCATATAATCTCAATGTTGTTACCTTCAATCACGAAACCTGTATTTTTGTGTACTGGAATAAGAAGAAATTATTTGTCATTCTTGATAAACGCTTGTAGTGGTCGAAAAATATTTGCACTATCGATCATTAAATATTAGTTCTCGATATATACAAAACTTGTTTTTAGACATATAATACAAACATATACATATATGCATATATACATATATGTAGATATAATACAAAATTTCGTACAATTTTGTAAAATTTTCTTCTTTATAAATAAAATTTTTGTACACGTAAAATGTGTAGATTTAACCAAAAATTTAGTTCATTCTGCAATTTTTCACAACGCTACATTACGACAAGCTTGAATTGCGTTGAGCATTAAAATTTCAGAGCAATCGACGAATTTCTGGATGAACTTCAGCTTCGTTATGTTAAATCTATCAAGCTCCTGTGAGCAAGTTTTCTATCGGTCAGATTGAAATATAAATCTCATGAAAACCTTCAAAATCGAATAAAACGATCTCATTAAACCGTCAATAACAATAAAACAAAACATAATCAACAGACTGCGGATATGCTTTTACGAAAATAGTAGGAAGCATCGGAAGACTTTAAAAAGACTGTTATCGACTTTCGACAAGGAATTCTTAGAAGTTGGCCCTGAGCTCGGTATTCGACAGCCAATGTTTTTCCTTTACTAGTCGCTAGCATCGATCGCGCGAGCGAGCGATCTGTTTACATTTACCACCGGCTCGCCTCGTTAGACGACCTATGATTGAAAAAGTAAGTCGCCGTTGCGATATGCGCCAGCATTTGAAACGTAACTGATGATCGCATGTCGAAGATCGTCCGCGTCGAAGGAAACGAAAAGACTCGAAACTCCTGAAATCGATTCGCTCGACGAATAGAACAGAAAAAGCCAGTTTTGCAGAGTGAAACGGTTATACCCGAAGCTGGTCAAGTAATTTGTCGATAGCTCGAATACATCAAGAATAGAGTGGCACAGAGGACTACATGCGACGGGAACATCGACTGGAATTTCAACTATACAGGAAGAGTACATGTACGTGTTCTATATTTCGCATGGCGTGGCCACACCGAAACTCCCCTCTATTGTTGCAGAATCTGGGAGGACAACAGTCGGGGAGTCTAGGCGGAGCACTGGTCGGAAACTTGAATCACGAATTAAATCATCGACTAGTTGCAAGCTGCGGTTAGGTTTTGTTGGTACACTCGTCCGTGCTCTTGCCCTCCTCCCCGTTAGCGGGTGGAATCGACGGTTCGGTATTCCGTCGCTTGATCTTATTTTTCTTCAACATGGTTGCCTGGAGCGAACAAAGGAACAAGGAGATACATATTAGTCAGAGAGTGCGATGAGGGGAGGACTGCATGCGTTGCCGAACACCAGCAGTTACGGGTTTACGGAATAGCAGTTTCATATGGAGCATCGCGTAAACAGCGTAATGATAAGTCAGATTTAGGCGGCTAGGTACATACAGATGCTCCGGCAGAGAGTGAACGTGCGACAAATATGTAGATGGCCCCATCATTCTACATGAAATCGAACAGCATGAGTGAATTATCGACGAACAAGGTCCGAAGGTGTATCAATTTCATTAAATCACTGTTAACCCTTTGCACTTGAAGTCTGTCCTTTTGACATCAATCGTACAGAGTGTTTAGCGATGCGTGACACGTTTCCACGTACATAAATTAGGCTGTAAGATAGTAAACTCGGCATTGTTACCGAACAGATTTCTATAAACGGTGGGCGAAGTAAAATGTTACTAATTGCAATTTTACAATGCATATATTGAAAACATCGACCTGATGTGGCGTTTGTCAACGAAAGTTTGCAAAATTAATTTTATAGTATACAACAAATTTTCTTGGGGCAACTGCTGCGAGGAGAAGGGAGGTGTTCAACATTCTTTTTAAACGGGTATATCAAGTTTTTATTGCCGCAGTGATCGACGAATTATAGCGAATAAATTGTTCGATGAGAAATTTTACAAGGAAACTGAAAGATAGCAAGAAAGAACTAAAAATAATAATGAATGTTATTAACTCGCCCGAGGTTAATAACGTGTCAACATTCACATCAAGAGAGAAATTAATCTTCTTAAATATATCATTTACCAGGAAGATTAGCAAATAGTGAAACGTGTGTTCATCGTTTTCGAAAATCTAAACAAAGATAACATCGTTCACGGAAGTCTAAATGTTTGTAAACCGAGTCGAAATTGTTTAATATGCACAATAAAGGAAACAATGAGAGATATTACGATAACAAAACGTTAGTGACCCCTTACTCGTTACATTTAAAAATGTGTTGGCGGCTTCTCCTTTTATTCACAGCAATTGTCTCGAAAAAATATATTGCTACTGAAAGATTATTACTAAGAGATAACCTCCTCGCAACATTTCATTAAAAAATATTATCTAAATCTTTTTGAATGGCACAGATATCGAAATTTTGTCAAGCTCACCTGTACATATTTCTTGTATCCTTTTTTTGATTTCTTAAATTTAAACAGTTTAGCAACAATTTAAGCTTTTCTTTTATCACTTTTTTTACAATTTTAAAATGGTTTGTAAATTTATTGCAGTTTGAAAATCTGTTCGCTTTTCTGATTGAAATTTAAAATAAAGATGCCTAAACGTCCAAATTCAAGGTTGTTTTGTTAAAAGAAGAAACAATTTTTTACAATAAAAACTTCCTAGTCCTTTAGACCAGAGCCTCTCCTCGAAGAAAATAATTATAACAGATGAAACTTCTCATGAAGTTCCAGGTGAAATCAAGTGCCACACAGATTCTCATAAATTCGAAAGATTTCTTCTCAACAACGTAAGGTTTTGCATGACTCGATTTATATATAAAGCATACATCCAGGAGCAGAATTGCCAGATTAGAGGACTCGGTCATGTATTTTAAAATTAGAGATATTTCCCTAATCGGTTGCACGAGTGTTAAAGTGTTCTGGTACCTAAAAGCACTGTTGTTGAAACGATTTCGAATACCAACACAAGTGACGAATGAAAATCGAATACTATGCAGGGAAGTTGCAGTGCAAAGGGTTAATTGGAGAACACAAAGTAGATGCTAGAAAGGAGAGAGGTGAAAGAACTTCAGTGCTAAAAAAATAGGAAAGTTTACTCTTACGGTGCATTACACCCACTCTGTTCTCTATTTCAATGGAATTATGGGGTTGTTACGGATGTCTGTACCAAGATTACCGTCAACGCTGATTTTAAAACTACGATATGCCCTGCGCTCTGGACCCAAGGTTCTCCATCCACTTGTACAGGAATATCGGACTGCAAATGTATCTTTATGTGTCCTCCCTGCGAGGGATACAAAATTAACATTCAATATCTCGGAGTTTCATTCTGAGCTACTTCGCCATGATGATAATAATAATCATACACGTTACTAAACGACACTGATCAACAAACATTTTCAAATGAGGAACATTTAAACTAATAATAGTTGCGCAAGCTGTTCTTATGCAGAACGATCCTGTGGACTCTCCCAAGTACGATGTTGTATTTGTATACAACATTATAAACGCTTAAATGAACTGGAAGAAAATTCTCCTGGATATTAAGGTATTAAGGATATTAAGGGATATTAAAAATATGGATATTAGGAATCTCAAAGATAATTGTTTAAAAAGTTCGGTTTTACTGAAAAGTTTGGCTTTTCATATCAGAGCTTTGGATCAGTCAATATTAGTTTATGGATCCATAGTATACAGCTTAGCGAATAAAAATATAGTAAACGTAATTCTATCTATTCTTCTTGGTTAAGAATTGTCCTGGATGTGTTCCACACCACTCCTACATATAATTTAGAAAGTGGAATAAATGTTCACTGTATACAATGGACAATTTGGAAAGAGGAGATATGGTTATTTCATTTCTAGCGTAAGTTAGTACTACAGTAAATTCTCCCTAATTTTGTAAAGAGAAGATACGATTATTCAAGCCTTGCATCTTGTTTTTATAATTGTTAACAATCGACAAATGTAAAAACGAGCCGCGAGACTTGAATAATCGTATCTCCTCTTCCCAAATTATCCATTTTTGTTTACAAGCTGAAGAGCAATTATTTGTTATTATGCGTTATTCCTACGTCTATGCTAAGGTTCGACGGAGATGGTCAAACGTGTGACGCGGCTCCTTTGACTAGAATTCCCAGAATGTCAACTCATAATACAATAACATAACTTTTTTTAATTTTAACATTTTAAAACTGAAATTTTTAAGCATGTTATTTGTTTTAATTATTTAGCTGCTGTAAATCGTATTTTAGCCGCTGTCTTCAGCCTTGTATAATTCTGATTAGTGGGTTAAAACGATTAAATAACATGTTAAAAATTACAGCAAACATAAATAATCAAGTAAGGATTATATTCAAAAAGATTTTCCAAATATAGTTATGAAGTATATTTGTCTGCAGCAATAATAGTAATAGTAGTAGTAGTAGTACTACTACAACTACTACTACTACTACTACTACTACTACTACTACTACTACTACTAATAATAATAATAATAATAATAAGGAATGTGATTTCGCCATAATTGATGAACTGAAACAATCGTTAATAGCGTGGAGCTAAAAAATACTATTCGGTGCTACAGAAAACAAAAAACTATCGCATATTGCGAGTCAGTGTGCTTTCTTTCTTCTCATACACGTGTAGATGTTTTTATTTTTATACGTAAAATATTACTGTGAAACGTTGCTAGAGTGGATTTCTCGAATTCTAACATATGAAGGATAACTTTCAATAATAAAGTGATAATATCAATTAAGCAATTATCAATAAAATGGAAGCGTACATTTATTGTAACAATTACCATACATGAAGTATACACAAATTACTCTAGATCAATCAAATTATGTCTTGATCTTCTTTAAATAAGAAACCTAAATGTAATAAACTTGGTGCACAAAATTCGTCTTTATAAATTACAGTGATGTGAATAATTATAACCACGAAGTAACTCTTACATTTTTAGTGATATTTAAATAAAAATTTAACAAAGTCCCTTATTCCTATATTTCTATATTAGAAATACTAGGAAATAAAAAATACAAATAGAATTTTAGGGATGAAG